CCCTAAACGTTAGGTCGTCGGACATCATTATTCCCAAAGCCTTGACATGCTGTTTTCCTACTATGGGCAGATTCGATTGTGTTTTGTACCCTGTATTATGTTTAAGATCCTCATTTTTGCCGTATCTTTGTTTGTTTGAGATATATACAAGAGTTGTTACATTCTTGTACAGCCACTAGTACGCGTAGCGTTTCGGGCAAGTCCTTAATCCTACGGTCCCTGGAATACGATCCCCTGCCGCGAAGAATCGTTTTTTCATCCAAGTACACATTTTACTGTTGCGTTAAACAGAGGCTACAGTTAAGGAATTGCGCCCAGTAAATCCTCCCCGGCCAGGATACGAACCCATGACATAGCGCTCGCGGAACGCCAGGCGAGTGTCTTACCACTACACCACGGAGACTGTTTAACTGTATCTGAGTATCTGGAATTTATCACCGTTAAACATCATGTTATTTTCTGCTGCCCAATCGAAAACTTTGTTAATATCTGTTTGTAGTTTATCAATGTCTTCAGCAGAGGTAATTTTCATGCTGATTTTTGTATCATCTGCAAAGAATGACACGAAGCTGTGACTTGTGTTTTTGTCTATATCTGATATGAGAATAAGGAACAGCAGTGGTGTAAGGGCTGTAGCTTGAGGTACAGAGCTTTTAACTGCGCTCGAACTCGATTTTACTTGATTGACTGTTACTCTTTGAATTCTGTTCGACAGGAAATAGAGTATCCAGCGTCCTACTTTACCAGTTATACCCATTGACCTCATTTTGTGTGCATTCACTCCATGGTCACATTTGTCGAATGCCTTTGCAAAATCTGTGTATACGACATCTGCATTATGTTTTTCCTCTAATGCCTCAGTGATTTTGTCATAGTGGTCAAGTAGCTGTGAGAGGCATGATCTTCCTGCTCTAAATCCATGTTGACCTGGATTGTGGAGGTCATTGGTTTCCATGAATCTAGTGACCTGACTCCTGATCACTCTCTCAAATACTTTTATTATGTGGGACGTTAGTGCAACTGGTCTATACTTCTTTGCCAATGCTTTGCTACCACCCTTGTGTAGAGGGGCAATGTCTGCTGCTTTAAGCGCATCTGGTATCTCCCCTGTGTCCAAGCTCTTCCTCCACACTATACTGAGTGCCTGTACTACTGGCACTTTGCATTTCTTTATAAATATTGAATTCCATGAATCTGGACCCGGGGCTGAGTGCATGGGCATATTGTCAATTTCTCTTTCAAAATCTGCCACGCTCGTGTTGATATCAGTTATATTTACAGGTCAGGTATTTGAGTATCATTCATAAAGAAATTGTCCGAATCTTCCACTTTCATGCTGAGTATCGGAGTGCTAAACATGTCCTCATACTGCTTTTTTAGGATTTCACTAATTTCTTTGTCATCCTCAGTGTATGAACCTTCACGAATACGAATAGGTCCAATACTGGCAGTGGTTTTCGCTTTTTATTTAGAATATGTGAAGAAATATTTTGGGTTTTTCTTTATTTCTTGAATTGCTTTCTGTTCTAGTTGTCTTTCTTCAGTCTGATAGGAATGCTTCAGTCTCTGTTCGATTTCTTCAATCTCCCTGTTTAAATTATTTCTTCTCTGTATGGAGAGTCGTGTCTGCTTAAGCATTTCCGTTAATTTCTTCCTCCTTTTGTAATGTCGTCTGCGTTCTCTTTCTACATTGGACCTCTTTCTGGCTTTCCTCAAAGGAACATGTTTCAGACAGGCTTCATATGCTTCAGAAGTCAGCTTCTCTATTCCTTGTGTAGGATTTTTATTTCTTAGAACATTTTCCCATTGAATGTTTGTAAGTTCCTGGTTGGTTGATACCTGGTTGATGGGGTTCTGGGAGTTCTTCTACTCCCCAAGCCCGGCCCGAGGCCAGGCTTGATTTGTGAGAGTTTGGTCCACCAGGCTGTTGCTTGGAGCGGCCCGCAGGCCCACATACCCACCACAGCCCGGTTGGTCCGGCACTCCTTGGAGGAATAAATCTAGTTTCCTCTTGAAAATGTCCACGGTTGTTCCGGCAATATTTCTTATGCTTGCTGGGAGGACGTTGAACAACCGCGGACCTCTGATGTTTATACAGTGTTCTCTGATTGTGCCTATGGCACCTCTGCTCTTCACTAGTTCTATTCTACATTTTCTTCCATATCGTTCACTCCAGTACGTTGTTATTTTACTGTGTAGATTTGGTACTTGGCCCTCCAGTATCTTCCAGGTGTATATTATTTGATATCTCTCTCGTCTTCTTTCTAGTGAGTACATTTGGAGGGCTTTGAGACGATCCCAATAATTTAGGTGCTTTATTGCGTCTATGCGTTCCCTGTTTATTTTCTCCCAGTCTATCCTCTTATTATTAAAATAAGAGGATAGTTTGACCGTCAACACCGTTTGACGGCGAAAGCAAGACCATCATTGCAACAAGTCTATCGGCGGAAAAGACACTGTGCAATACCCAGACCCCATGTACATCGACGCTGAAACCATGCAGTACTGCATCAACCTCTCAATACTATGTAAGGAATACTACGACCCCGTCAGGGCGCTTGACAGCTGGGTGGACAGCGCCTCGGATTCGTATTCCTGAGATTCCGGGTTCGATCCCCGGTGGAGACGATGACAAATGGACAAAAAGTTTCTTTCATGTTGCTCCTGTTACCTAGCAGTAAATAGGTACCTGGGAGTTAGACAGCTGCTACGGACTGCTTCCTGGGGGTGTGAAACAAAAAGGAACCCTGGTCGAGGACCAGGGGCCACGGGGATGTTAAAGCCCCGAAATCATCTCAATATATAACCTCAAGATAACCACAAGTACAGTACTACAAAACCTACCCCAATGGACAGCCGGAACTCCACCACGACCTGGTCGACGGCATAATGAAGGAAAATCGAATTAAGCCGAGGATAGCAGACAAAACGAGACGCATCCATCCATAAGCCACCTGCCTGAACAGCCAAGCTTCCAACAGGACATAAACTACGAGTTACCATGAAGACCCCATTCATCCACAGATCTACAACATCAGCTACTGGTACTGGTAATAGCTTCAAACAGCCTCCACTTACGGGCTACTCATGCCCATGCCACCTCTTGGGTGGCTTAATGTGCCACGAGGGTGCGGGTGTTCAACCGGGAAGCCACCAACATCGGCTGATGATTGCAGTAATTGTCTGTTTGAACTGATGTGTTTAGTAGATCTTATCGACCCTGACTCTTAGGAATAGCATGTTTTGGCCTAGGGTTATTAGATCTTTATTGATGAATAAATCGACTATTAAATTATGTGGAACATACCTGGAGAGGGTTCCGAGAGTTCTTCTATTCTCCGAGCCAAGCATGAGACCAGGCACTGTATCATGGTATTTCAATGTATTTTCTCTAAGTCATTCTGAGTCATAGGTTCTTGAGTAAATTGGAAAATTGTCTGATCATCTGAGCGTATAATAAGTATATACACCCCTCCGTAATTATTAAGTAGAAACAAACGTTAATGACCTATGATTAATGAAATACAGTAATTATCAAAAAGTAAAGATTTATTTAATTTTCATTTACCTTCAGTGATTATATAAAAAAACCATCTATGGACCCCAATCAGGCACACCCTCAGACCTCGACCAGTTGTGTACACAGAGCCTAGGAAACACCCAAGACCTATCTCACACACACCAGGAGCCATATAAAAAAACAAAAAAAAAAAAAAACACCAGACGCTCTACCAAATGTACAGAATGCCGGTTTCTACATACATACAGGCTCAGGATAGGGGACGAACGAAAGGCACCAGAGCCGAGGTATAACCCAGTATGGTGCAGAGAGTCGAAGAAGAGGCAGACGAGGAAGCAGGACAGCCATAATCGATTTTAGACAGCACCATGTAAATAGAGGAGCGTGCGTCTATCAGTTCCCCAGGAAGTATGGGACAAGAATCCAAAATATTCAACACGGTGTACTACTAACACATCAAAGAAGACCCATGTAATCACATCCCAGACGTGAAAATCTGAAATACGACAACATAATAACCCATCTTCAACAAACCAACCAACCCCAATCTAACCTAACCCTATACACATTAACCACATGTTACTTAATGTACTCTAACTTACCCTACCATAATTTATCAGATTTATGACCAACTCCTAAACATACTTCAACTCACAATCTCCGTCTCTTAACTCAACCATACAATTTTTATAAAGCAGCAACACTTTGATACCACCATTAACACAACTCCTCATCTTTGCCACTCCGAGTCCATTTCCACTCGTATGTTTATTTTCTCATTATCCTCAAACACACAGAAGACATCGATAACTTCCAATTTCTGCCAAATTATGAACATTGATGTGCCACTTTGAGCGCCACATCTTTCATCACCACCACCCGTGCAGTCATTGGGAGGAAAAACCGTCATGCAAACTGCACGAATCGTGAAGAAAAAGTAAAGCAGGAAAGATTACTTTAGAAGACCAATCTATAGGATGATTAGTCTCCCTAGCATGACAGAAGTGAGCATTGTTTGTATGCAGGCTTAGACTTAAGGAACACAAGAGAAGTATCGTCATTCAGTGTACAGCCAGTTTCACCAACGTATTGGGAGGACAATACGATCAGGAAATAGAGTAGGCACCAGCAGGAGTGTGAACCAGATTACTGTCAAGTGTTAGTCGAAAGGCAAGGTTTAGTATTTGTTGCAATCTTCCAACATTTTCCCTCTAAACATAGGAATGTAACTAGCCAACCCCTTGTGGTGTTCATGAGAAACCCAATGAACACCTCCAGAGGTTATCCGATAAGCTGGGCAATGATTTTATCAGGTTACGTGCAATTGGGTCTAACAGCCTTGTTGAACAGATCATGAACCAGAGGCCTGGTGTCAGGGTGTTGCCGACCCTTGGAACCAACAAAAGATTACCAAACGGTACTGTTGTGTGTGTGTCTATATATATCTGCTGTGGCTGAAAGGAAAAATAATGTTATGTGGTTCAGGCTATTTATTATTCAAATTTATTTACAATATGGTACAAGGAAAGCAAAATTGCATACATTTGTGCATTTAACAAAAGCTGTACTTTCATTTATATCACAAACTTCATGATGAAGCAAATTTCACAAATCAAATGCAATTCTTTTACCTATTAAAATTATTTATTACATCAAACTCATCATACAATTAAAATATATTTATGAAATTCTCTACTAAACTACCCTGTTAATATGTGACAAAACATTCATGAATATAAATTCCCTTTCCATTAATCTAATTTGACAAATGCTTTTCCTAAAGTAATGGGACATGGAATAACAATAACATTTGGAAATAATAATTATTAAAAGCCCTTAAAAATACCAAATGGTCATTAAAATATAGACCATTATTTGTAAGCTTTAATATCCGTGAGAAAGGCACTATCAGAATCATTGAAGATCTCTGAAATGGCTGTTAGAGCCTTTGCTTTACATCTGCGCCCTGACTGAACTCTTAACGGGCTACTGACTTTATCCAAATTTTCTAATAAACTTTTATTATTTCTGCTCTTTTTCTTTGCTGCAGTATTTTTCTTCTTTAACTTTTGGTCTTCAGCGCCACTTTCGTTTGCATTTGAACTCTCGGTTGGAACATTTTCTTTCTCTACACATACAGTCGTGTTAACTTTTCTACTGGAATTAAGTTTTTCTCCTCGTTTTTCTACTTTTGTTTCTGGAGGTGTAGACTGGTCACGGCTAGGAGAGAGAGTATCTTTACCTAACACTTTCTTCTGTGATATGAAAGATCTGTTCTGGCATGCTCGTCTCTGGTTTCCTCTCGGAGCAGGTGTGTCCAGTACAGGTACATCAGTGATTGTTGGTGGATTTTCAGAAATCTTTTTGGCTTTACTGATTTTTTTACTTGGTTTACCTTTAGGAATAGATGAATGATGTAATACTGAACCTGCTTCCTTATGACTTTCCAAGCTTGATTTTTCAATTGGATCCAGTGATAAAGCTTGCAGGTGCATACCAATTTCATCCTCTGGTTGAATTTTCAAACTTTCAATCGACTGTTCTGCATTATTATTTACTTTCATCTTGTCTTTACTCAACTTTGTTGTCAGTTCTCTTCCAACACTGATCTGTGATCTGAATTTATTACCTGGCTCCATACATAAAGACTGAAGATCCTCACAAATATCACTCAGCTTGGCACTGGGGAGTTTTAATAATCGTTTTCCCCTTATCCTGCTTCGGCTTGATGAAACAATGCAGTCATCTTCCTTCATTTCCATTTGCTCTTCATCTGAGCTTGTTTGACTTTGTATTTGATCTAAAATTTCCTCCTTGTGTAATCTTTTACTTTTGTTCACCAACCGACTGTTGGGTTTCAGATTTTCTTCCTTCTGAACACCAGATGCCGCTTTTTTTGCAGATTTCTTTGGCTTCACTGCTAGAACTGGGACAGATGGGTTTTCTTTTAACTGTACTTTGCTCTGAACAGTTTCTAAACATTTCAAATCGTCTATATTAGATCCTGTAACATTGAATCTTGATTTAATATCAGTTGCGACTTTTGACTTTTCAACTTCCTCAGTGACAGAAAGAACCTTACTAGAGCCTTCCTCTATCTTGGATAATTTATTTGTAATCAATTTAGTTCCCCTAGTCTTTTCTTTTGTTCTTGTGCTTCTAGTTGAAATTGCAAGGCTTGCATCATTAGCACTTGTGCTGACCTCAATATTTTTAGCTGATATTTCAGAAGTCATATCCTCATTTGTAGAGTTTTCAAATTCCTTTATATCTTTGTTTAATGCTGCATTACTGGGAATTTTAGTTTTTTGTTTTCTTGCTAGCTTTGTTTTAGAATTGAGAACACCACTGTCTACTGTCACAGACTCTGCAGTTTTTGAGATGGCTTCTCGCTTATTTGCTCGTGTAATTTTTGAATTACCAAATTGTTTTGCTGTTTCACAGTCTGAAACTAATTTGTCCTTCATATCACAATTTTCTTTACACTCAGTTTTAATAGTGCCCTCCAGAAACAATGCTTCATCATCTTCCGATTGTTCCGAATTGTCACTTCTTATACCATGCAGAGCATTTACCTCGGCAAATCTACTGCCCCGTTTCTGACTTTTTTGGGTGACCTCAGTATCTTCATCCATCTTGTCATCATCATTTTCATCTGCAAGTCTTTTAATCTTGTTCTTCAGGCTATTGCTAGATTTAATTTTTATCTTTTTAGGTATCCTAAGTTTTGTTTGTGATTTTATATTAACTTTAAGGGAGTCACCCTCTTCATTTTTAGTGGCATTTTCTGTGGCACCTTCAACACCCTCCAAGTAAACCTTTGTTTGGTCAGAAATTATATCCCTGTTACTTGCACCCATTTCCTTTATTCTTAGAGGGAAAATGTCTAAGGAGTCATTAAACTCTACCTCATGGATTGAAGATTCAGGATTATCACTGGAAATGCTCGAGTAAGCTGCAGTAATTCCATCCTGTGGGGAAACTTCTAATTTAACTGATGGTTCTTCACTAATAAGTTCATCTTTTATGCTGGTTTCACTTGTCTCCATTACAGTTTGAGAAATAAGATCATCATTGCAAATGCTCTTTGAAACCTCTGTATCTTTTAAATTGACTACAGAATGTAAAGATGTAGAACTTTTATATGTAGAAGAGTTTGTCAGCAAGTCATCCCTTCCTACTATTTTGTTTTCGTCTACTGACGAGATTTTTGGCAAAAGCTGCCCAAAAGAATTGTAATCTTCATTCGCTATATATTGCTTTACCGATACATCTTTACTTTGAATATCCAAATATGGAAGGGTACACTCATCTTGCTGTACAGGATGCTCATTACTTGCCACTTTGCTAATTAACTTCCCCTCGGTACTTGAAAAAGTTTGGTCCTTGAAACCAATAGGTGGCGTAAGAATGCATGGTGCACGTTTAGCACCGTGAAGACTTTGAGAAGCATCTGTATTTCTATCAGGAAGTTTTAGTTCCAATTTACCTTTACTCATTGAAACTGATAATTCATCAAACTCATTACTTTCTCTAGAACACTTTTCTATATAAACATTGGATTTCATTGTATTATGTTTTATTGTTGCTCCATCCCCTGAAGTTAGTAGTGACTTTTTGCTTCGCGTGGAAGATGGACAATTATGGCTAGGCTCAAAATATTCAGAGAGTAAGCTTTCGTGTAAAAAGTAGTTCTCTTGTGTCCTGACTGATCTTGTAGAGTTGGAGCGGCAACCAATATCCGGTGTTGAAGCCTTATATTCCAAAGGTGGTGCAATAATATACGTTGCATTTAAAGATGTGGCAACAAATGTTTCATCTAAACGCTTGTGGATGTAAGTTTGGTCTAAAGGAGCGGGCACGTAAGTTTGGTCTAAAGGAGCAGGCACGTAAGTTTCGTCTACAGGCGTGGGGACGTAAGTTTCATCTACAGGCGCGGGGACATAAGTTTCGTCTACAGGCGCGGGGACGTAAGTTTCGTCTAAAGGATTGGGCACGTAAGTTTCGTCTAAAGGCGTGGGGACGTAAGTTTCGTCTAAAGGATTGGGCACGCAAGTTTCGTCTAAAGGCGTGGGGACGTAAGTTTCGTCTAAAGGCTTGGGCACATAAGTTTCATCTAAAGGCGTAGGGACGGAAGTGTCATCTACAGGCATGGGGACATAAGAGTCATCTAAAGGTGTGGGGACGTATGTGTTATCTAAAGGCGTAGGGACATAAGTTTCATCTGAAGGTGTCGGGATGCAAGTTTCACCTAGAGGCTTTGGGATGTAAGGTTCAACGACAGACATGGGGACATAAGTTTCATCTAAAGGTTTGGGGATGCAAGTTTCATCTGACTTACTCTGAAGGCCAGAGGACAGAACAGCAATATGCTTTGATGTCTTCAGTTCCAACTGATAATTTTCACAACCTGAGAGTTGTGTTGTTGCTCCATTAGGACACTGTTCAGAGACATTTTCTCGTAAAAGTTTGCGTCTGCCTGATGGCAATAATAAAATGTCAGATGAACCTTCCTTCTGTTCACACTCTTCAATACTTTCTTGAATAATGTTATGATGGCCTGTTACATCATGGATGCCTACAGGCTTTTCATCCTTCTCTGTATTCAAATTATTTTCATCTTGTACATTTGGAGTTCTTGGAATTTGTTTTCCAGTAGGTATAATATTTAAATCTGCATCAACACTGTCAATTGGTATTTCATCAGAGTCTGCAACTTCCACAAAATTTTCATCAGCATTTATATTTCCTGTGATTTCAGATGAGACTTTGCGCTCTTCGCCTGGAATGATGGATCGTTTCACAGGAGTCCTTGGCAGCTGACGACCTGTAAAGATTAAGCAATCATTTGGCTACACACAAAATACACATTAAAAATATCAATGCATTTACAATAGTGATTAAAGAGAATTTGAATGTTCAAGAGGATGGGAAGAAAGAGGAAAGAAGAAGCAAGTAATTATCAAAAGAAGGTACCAAACCGGGAAGGCTAAGTAGCACCATCAAATGTGCGGGATAATCAGAGGGCGCTAAATATCACCAAAGATGCCAGTACGAGAACAGAAACGCACAAGGCGAACGATATCAAAAGTATCCAAGTCACCAAGAATACTATCGAGAGACAAGCGACCGCGGGGGACGGTCGGAAAACGAGATACTCTCTTCCCGGAAGTCAGGACATAAACAAGGATATGCACGACTGTAAGAGGGAAAGGAAAGAAGAAAAAATTACACAATGTGGCAATGCCACTAAAGCCAGCACCATAAGCAAAAAAGGCCTCCACATCCGGGACCAAACCCAGCGATCCATGCCTTCAAGAAGCTTGTCTGTGAAATCCCAGAAGGCAGCCATGATGTCCCTGGGAAAGGGCCATATTCCTCCCTTGATGCCTGGGACAAAAAGGTGTCATCCCAATGAGAACAATCAGAGCAGGAAGGTGGTTGTGAAGTTGAAGGCTCTGCATCTTTGGCAGGGAGAAGATGGCTTAAATGCCTCTGCATTAGACGGGGCCATCCCCTGAGGAGGCTGAGGTACATCCTGCCCCAACTCTGATAAACTCAGACACTTTGGAACAGGAATGAAGGTGGTATGGGGGGAGGGAAGACCTTGAACAATTTCTTATTCCTTGTTCGACAAAACACAACTCAAGCAAGGAAGCAAGGCACTCCACACCCTTGGGGAAAGGAAGAGCTGGCATAGACTTGGCCCAAGTGGAATTCAAAAACATCTCCAAATATGATCTTTATAATCACAGGGGCCCACTCTGCAACATCCAAGGATGCACCATGCAACAGACATTGAATATGCAAAACCCTTGCCTGCAAAGTGCCAGCTGATGAGAAGACAATGGAGACCCAATGTGTGCAAACATCTTAGAACTCCTGGTTATAGGCATCAATGATCTAACGGGCAGTTTGGAAAAAGAGAATGATTATTGGCCTGTATCCAGACCAAAGAGCATACTTCAAACTCGCACACAGTGAATGCCACAGACATGCAGGGAAATTACCAGGGGCCCAAAGGTAACTAGCCAAGCAGGACACCTAGGCACTAGGAATGCTCGCCAAAAAACGGCACAAAATGCAGCAAATAACGTGGTGTCTACAAAGGGTGTCTGACTGTCCACAGGATGTTGTATAAACAAGCACTCATATACCCTAGTGCACCCCACTCAACCAAGTTAGGTGCCCCTCAACCAAGGGCCTCCACAGAGGAGTCAACTCTTGTCCTGTCCAAGGTGAGGCTTTCCACTCTGGCAGCCAGGCCTCTCAGGTGTGAATTCCCAACACACCACAGAAGTAAGTGTCATTATAGGGGCAGTTCTAAACGACTACCCAGGGAAGGGAACTCTGAGCACATGCAGCTCGAAGCGTAAAATAAGCCAAGTCTGCACAACAGAGCCAGAAGAAACTTGCGAATACTAAAATATGGTAACAATAAAATTAAATGGCTCCTGCAGGGCATAGTCCAAAGGATGGCTGGCACTTAGTTGAGAAGTAGTGGGATATGTTGTGAGGGATGGTGAGCTGGGAACACTTCAGAAATCAACCCAATCAGCAACAGGATTGACCTAGTGACCTTGTAGCTGGCTGTGGGTTAGGACAACCTACATTACTGTATATATTTCAACTTATAGGTTGAAATTAATTTTGCCGAGTGAATTCAGCCTATAGGGTGTGGGAAATGCACCCTGGATGTTGCCGGTTGCAATAAATTCCTCACTGCAACGAATTGTGGCTTGTCCCATATAGTTCGTTGAATTGAGGATGTACTGTAATTATATATTTATCAAAACTCTGAAATGCTTCAGTAGCACGAGGTTACACCATACGCTTACATGGAAAAATTAACAAAAAAAAGCAAGTCTCCAACAATTCTTGTACAATTTATAGAACATTACAATCTTGAGGTTATATCGAGATGATTTTGGGGCTTAGCGTCTCCGCGGCCCAGTCCTCGACTAGGGCCTTCTTTTTTGTTACACACCCCCAGGAAGCAGCCTGTAGCAGCAATAACTCCCAGGTACCTATTTACTGCTAGGTGAACAGGGACATCAGGGTGAAACAAACTCTGCCCATTCGTTTCCGCCTCTACCGGGGATCGAACCCGGAAACTCAGGACTACGAATCCAAAGCGCTGTCCACACAGCTGTCAGGCCCCATACATACATACAAGCTCAGTAAAACATTTTACAAATTAAAGTGCATTATTTTTAACTATTTAAAAGTAAGAAAAAGCAAGAGCAGGAAAAAAATAAATACAATTTGATGAAAATTAATTTAAAGTGATGCACAGACAATCCAAATTTCAATGCATCCCCTTCAAATTTTTATTTTTTTTTTTAATCGAGATCCACATTCTGGTGGGAAGATTTGATTCGTTGTTTAGAGAAATCCCTATCGAGAGATTTGGATTTGGGAGAGTGCACTGTATGAGTGTGTAAAATCTACTTGGAACAAGAGGAAAATGCTAATACAATCAATTTATAATGAGAATTTAAAGCTCACATGCTAACCTTTTGTTAAAGGAATTATGTCTTCATCATTCAAATCACTTGTGGGAGAATCTCTGGTAACCATCAACCACTTCTCTTGAGTAGTAACGCTGCAGTTTGCTGCAAATATTCCTTTGGGAGGGGAAGATGACACAGTAGGTACGTCACAAGAATTGGCATCGTCTTCATTCAACTTTTTTGTGGGCTCTGGAAGACTCTTCATTTTTGAAGTTTTCATTTGTTCTTTTTTGATCAACTGCAATAGATGTCCAAAATACAATAAGGATAAGCAAATTAAAAAAAAATTACTGGTTTAAAAGAAAAAAACAACTTTTTGGGCCAAATAATGTTAAATATAGGCAATGCAATTGTGATTTAGCCATGTGTGTAAATCCTATGCTGTAATAAAAAGTGTTAATAAAAAAACAAAAAGCCAACCAACTAATGCTTCTCTAGGGATGGTGAGCAATGAAGATAATTTTATATGAATTTTAACAAAGTACTGTTCACTCATTAATGCACAACCTAGTTAGTAACAATATTTGTTTAATTTCAAACAATTTCTACATAATTTTCAAATGTTGAAAAGTCAAAAGGCATTTATCTAGGGCTTCTGCACCATGCATTTGCATAAAATCCACTAAGCAATATAACTTCAGCTTGTTTCCTAAATTGCAAAGTACACAACTTGAGAATGGGTTCAGGAGATGTAGCTACCAGAAAGCTGTGCCAGACTTTAGCCTCCCCTCAATAGAGGACCACCTAGGACCACTAAGGTAACTAAGGAAAAAACCATCATAAAGATAGCATACACCAACACAAACCAACTACAGTACATGGTTTATATTTGCAATGCTAACTAACAATATAAACAATTAGCTGGGCCAAATCACTGATTCATAGCAATACCTCCAGCAGATGGCAGATCACCGAAATCTAGGTCGCTAATTAGTCGCATATTACCCCAACACATGACCAATGACCATTTGCAAAGAGGGGAAGGAGGGAAACATGGAACTACAGAAGGACCCCACTACAAAGGAGTTTCATTTCATTTAACAGCAATTTTCTTGGATGGCCACCTTGGTAACTCCCCAAGCTATCTTTAAACAAAATGCAAGGGGGGTGGAAGGGGGGGGGGGGTGGAAGAGGTTTAACATGAAGGATAGGAGATGCGAATACCACAAAGGCTCAAAGACACGGGACTATCAATGTGCTCTCCCGGATTCTCATTAATGGCATTTAAATAGCCATGAACCCACAGGGCAAAGTGTGATTAACCCGTGGCCAGAGAATCCAAGTATCAATCGCTAAACAACCCTTCCAAAAACCAAACTTTTATTCTTCGACAGAAGAGGTGGTGGTTGATGCTGAAGGGAATGAAAACCTGGACCAAACCTGGACCCAGCTCCCAAGGAAAAGCATGAATCTCCCCTTACCCAACCTCCAGAAACAAAGCCAACACGATGAATGCCTTGCAGAATATATTCTTTAGATAAGGGGACACTAAAGGGCAATGATACAATTGGAGGTGAATGAATGCCATTCAATTTTATGAATGGGAGTAAGAGAGATCAGCCCTGAAAGCCAATAAGAGGCTTTGCCAAGACAAAGCAATAAGATGCGATAGCAATGGGCATCAAACTATGTTCATGAAATGACAAAGGAATACACTGGAAAAGAAACCGAAGACGAATACCAAAGTGCCAGAAAAAGGTGGAATGCATTCCATGCCAGATAAACTGTCATTGAGAGGATAGTTTCTGATGCAATACCTGTACAAGAAAATTGACTACTTTAGCACCTTACAGGTGTTCATAAACCCAATCAAAATACTCCACACAAGATTGGCAAAAAGCCTCTGACCACTGAGATAAGTGTCACCATCATTCTGCTGGGATAAAGTGGAACCTTATAAAGACAATCAGTTTAAACAGAGTCTCAAGACCCAGAAACTATTGCCGGGTTGGCTACCAAAGGGACATCAATCGGCAATCCTTTCTAGTTTGGACAGGAAGCAGCAGCAGTTTTCTCCTGTGGGCGAGAAAACAACTCGCACCTAATGGCAAGACTAGAAATGGGAGGCACCATATTTGATATGTCTCACACATAACTGGTGAAGAAAACTAAACCCTGAGAATTGAGAACCTGAGCTACTCGAGAGTCCAATGCCACATAAGGTAAAATCAATTCAACTCCTCCAGTCAAGACAATCATCTACTGTGAAAGCAGTCCAAGTGGAGCCGAATCACAAACCTCTCGGAAGATTAATGCTCTGGGTTGTTAATTAGCTAATTAAACTGCTACCAGTTTGTGAATCATAATGTGAGCCCGACACAGACCAGGCAACCAACAGCCCTGCCCTGCATGCCATTCTCTAGAGATGAATGTGCAGCATAAAGTCTAAGCATGCACAAATGGGAGTAGGACATCACAGAACCAAAACCTCAAAAAAGCCAGAAGACAAAACACAAAACCCTCTGTAGAGCCTAAATGGATCTGCTACAGTATTCCAAAAAGAGTGAAAAGGGCGACATTGGTGAAATTGGAGGAGCATCTTCAGATAAACCCTGCCAAGCATATAAACCATGCAAACAAAGTTCAGATTCCCCCCCCCCCCAGTTGCTCAAGAGACTGCTGGGAAAATAAACAGGCTGTGCACCAGACTGATACAAGATGCCAGGTCCAGATGAGACACTGGCAGAAAGGAAAAGGACACTGTTCTGGCACCCCCTCTTCCAGACAGTTTTTAATAAAAGTAAAACTTACAACTCTGTTCCTCCTTGCAGCAACCTCAAGGCCGTACCGACTTGTTATTTTATCATCAATGGCCGAGATGATTCTTAGGGCTCTTGCTTTATCCGATAGATCCTTTATTTTAGGTGCAAGGTGGTCAATTCCTAATAAACGAAGACATCTGCAAGTGAAAAGTAATTTATTCAATCTTTTTGTCTAATCATAATGCCTGGCTTAGTAAAAGCTAGCCTATGGTTTTGAATATAAAATAGATTTGAGAATCATGATTAGTAATCATGGAGATTAGCGAACAGATGCTTTTTCACCAACAGGGTTATTAACCCATGGAACTGCCTACCTGCCAAAGCTGTAAATGCCAAACCTGTGTTGAGTTTTAAAATATACAGTACTTGGGAAAGATCACAAAGGCAAATGGGGAGGACCTTTGACAAGTTGCTGGCTTCCTGTCTGCAACGAGGCCACTATGGTTAGTGGCCCTCGGGTAAATCAGGTAATGTTTGGAATAAGGCAAACAGGATACTAGGATTTATTTCTAGAAACATTAGCAATAAAACAAGTACTGTACAGTAATTCTATTCAATGATATCTTGCTCCTGTTAGCCTCATTTAAATTGGTCACCAAAATTTAATTGCCCCTATCTAGAGAATGAACATACAGTTCATTCTGGTAGCTGAGTGGACAGCGTGCAGGACTCTTAATTCTGTGGCCCCAGGTTTGATTCCCGGACCAGGCAGAAACAAATGGGCAAAGTTTCTTTCACCCTGATGCCCATTACCTAGCAGTAAATAGGTAACTGGGAGTTAGACAGCTGTTACGGAGCTGCTTCCTAGGGAGGGGGGGAACATTAGTTAGTTAGTAGTTAGTTACAGTTGATTGATTGACAGTTGAGAGGCGGGCCAAAAGAGCAGAGCTCAACCCCGGCAAGAACAACTAGGCGAATACAACTAGGTGAATACAGTACCATGAATTTAGATTGTACGAGTACAGAGCAGAATGACAAGGTTAATACTCTAATACTGTACCAGGATTTAGAAACCTCCATTATGAAATATATTTACAATACCTAGGAAGGCAAAGAAGAAAGGGTGATAATTGAAGTACTGTACAATAAAAAAAATACAGTAGATGAAAGAGTATAGCAAAGAGGATATTAATAATGTGTTAAATATATAAACACAAAGTAGAACAAAATAAACAAATGGTTATGAATTGGAGAAGTTCAGGAAAGATCTGAAGAAATACTTATTTAGAAATATGATGATTGATTTATAGAACAAATTACCTCATCACAGACAAAATCAGTCGGATCATTTCAAGCATAGGTTAGACCAATATATATACATATATAAAAATTCATAATCCATCGTGTCAGGGGACAGAAAGCCAGAATGTATTCATACACTTAGGCTATTATTGAGGTCCCCCCCCCCTCCCATGCCGACTTACTGACCCCACCCAGGATGCAACCCCAGAACAAACTAACTCCTGGGTTACTATTTACAGCTAAGTGAACAGATGCATGAGGTGAAAGGAAAGGTGCCCAAGCATTTCTGTCCCGCGTGGAATTCTCGAGTGTGCGTCAAGAACGAACCTGACTGTACTACCAGGACCCTAAATATACATTAGTTTGGGAGGATACAGATACACGTTCTCATATGAGCTAATTGGCCTTCTGGAATTTCCCGTATTCTTATGTTGCATTATGATTTACTGGTAAGCTAGTATACAATAGTAACAACACAGTTTATGACTAAAGTTTGCTCTTAGTATATATTGAATATACATCTTCGTACTATTGTATATTGTAAGTAGAGGAGGAGGAAGACAATGAAGATGAGGAGCAGGAAGAGGAGGAAAAGGAATGAGGAGGAGGAATGTACAATACATGCATTGGTGTAAATAGTGACTGGCAAGGCTATCAGACTAGGAACATGAAACTAACATAACAATAAGTAACAGTATCCTTGGTGGTGTTGGTAGAGACGCCAGAGTATAGTTGCCTCGGAGTAATGTTGACAGTGATGAGAACCGTCTGCTCAATGTCCAAATGTATCAGGTTTGATTCCCACACCAGAAGGTGCTTAACCGTGTTTTCTTTCACCCGCTGCCTCTGTTCACCTCGGAATGTTAACTAGGCTTCTGTCCCCAACAATGAGGAGACCATAGCATGATTAGGGCTCAAAGAAGTGCTCCAAGTGAAGACCCTACAAGTTATAGCTACGTTTTAAAGGCCAACCTAACCTTAGCTATTATAACGTGCATCTCATAGTGGTAGCTCTAACTCTAGGGAGGAACTTTCTGGGTACTACTGTGGGCATGAAAGGTACTGAAAGCAGGATGAGCAGTACCGAGAGCGAAGAGCAAATGATCAATGCCCAAATGCAGGGACAACCCGGTCAGGAGCGGGCGGATTCGTTGTATAACTACTATACACGGATTGTACCTAAAGTGGGTTTTGGGAGTTCTTTCTTCTCTGAGAGCCCTGCCTAGGGCCAGGCTTTACTTAGGAGAGCTTGGGCCAACGGACTGTCGCTTGGGGAGCCCCAATGTACACATCCACTACCACCTGGCTGGTCTAGCACTTCTTGCAGGAAAATAATTTTTTTTTTAAAGGCCACTTTAGTTCCAGAAATATTTCTTAAAATTGTTGGGGAGGACATTGAGCAGCTGTGGACCTCTTTATAAGTCATCATAATTCACTGTGTCAGGGGACAGGCAGACAGTGTATAAATATAAGCTGTATGGATACATGCAAGACTTACACTTTGGTCCCGCCAGGATGCAACCCCACACAACAAGCTGACTAATTCCTGGGTACCTATTTACTGCTAGGTGAACAGAGGCGATAGGAAACTCTAACAACCACTTCTGCCCCGGTGGAGATTCGAACCCCGGAATGCACGATGGCGAGTCGAAAACGAACCCAACTGTCAGTATGGCACACCCCTATACTCCTCACAGGCTCTATTTAACAATTCCTAATTTATATCGTTTCCTCCAGCATGCCATAACTGACCTGTGAATGTGTACAAAACTGCGGTGAATGGAGTTACTAGAGCCTGCCGTCTCCCCAGGGTCATTTTCACTATTTTCGAAGGAGGAGTCGTAGACGCAGAGTAGCCTGAGGTACACCCTGACGAGGACCTGCCTGGGCCAAGCGTCCTTCGGCAGGTCAGCGAAAAGGTACTTGTAGTGCAGCTGGTCGGCCACCTGCGCCTCAAAAGTCATCTTTACACTCCTGCACTTCCCTTCTTCTTCTCACAATGTTTTGAACTGCGAGACACACATGTGGAATTTGTATTGACGCTCGCTGATTGGTGGAGCGCTGCAAGTCGCCGCTCATTGGTCGCTTGAGATGAGACGTCGGCGCTGATTTGTTGTCATTTCATAATATTTAAAAGGCGCGGTCTTTTAAAAAAACAAAAACAAAAACAGGCGATGTTTATAAATAATAAATAAATGTTTATTGAGGTAAAGTACATACATACAAAAGGTTTTACAAAAATTGATAGATATATAGATAGAGCTAGTACAAACAATGCCTAAAGCCACTATTACACAAAGCGTTTCGGGCAGGAAAAACATTAAAGACTAAAACTTAATACTATATATAAAACTTAATTATATAATTATGCTTAACACTGGATATTCATCAAGAACCTGGGGGTGGGATTCATTAGGAATTTTGGCTAATTCTTAAGAAATGTTTTCTTTATATAGCCTGGCAGTTACTCTCAGCTTTACGTAAACCATACGTAAATTAAATTTTCTTGATTACATAAACCGGACTCAGAATACCTCTCTTGCCAGCGATACATATAATGCAATATATATATATATATTAATATATACTAATATAGTAATAATATAATAATAATATGATAGGAATAGTATAGTAATAAATAGTATTACTATATTAATAAATAGTATTACTATAGTAATAAATAGTATTACTATAGTAATAGCAAATAGTAATAATATAACAGCCAAAATCAACAATCAAAATCAGAATATAATTATAATAATAATATAATAATAGCGCTATATAATAATATATTTGTAGTTGTAGATGTCTTTTAATATATTTTGTGTGGTTGTAGATATCTTTTAATATATGTCTTTTGCAAATATAAATACAAATCAGCATAGTGTGTTATTATATAAATATTAAGTCGATATTAAATGTTATTCATTTAAAATAAGATATTGTTCGCCAAAACATATTGGAAGAGCCAATGTTTTTTTTATACCAAATTTGTGCTGATAATATAATCATAATTATTAATTATGATTATATAATTAATTATTATATTTATATAATATATAACTTTATATTATATTATTATATTATATTCATATAATATATTAACTTTATTTTATTTCAGTACTCCCATAATTAAAGTTGTCAATTTGTGTATCAATTATAGACTTATATATATATATATATATATATATATATATATATATATATATATATATATATATATATATATATATATATATATATATATATATATATATATGCGAACAAGCCTGAATGGTCCCAGGGACTATATGCTACTGAAAACTCACACCCCAGAAGTGGCTCGAACCCATACTACCAGGAGCACTCTGCTGGCGTACAGGACACCTTAGTCACCCGACCAACACGACCGAAAGTTTATATATATATATATATATATATATATATATATATATATATATATATATATATATATATATATATATATATATATATATATATATATATATATATATATATATATATATATATATATCGCGCAGTTTCTGTCTCTCACACACAGAGGATATGTGGAAGCTGGTTAAGTGCAGAATTGCATTTCACCTTTGCAAACACACATTAATGACACTATGTAAAAAGACACATCGAACACTATTTATTTAAGGCAGACATAAGAGAGAGAGAGAGAGAGAGAGAGAGAGAGAGAGAGAGAGAGAGAGAGAGAGAGAGAGAGAGAGAGAGAGAGAGAGAGAGAGAGAGAGAGAGAGAGAGAGAGAGAGTGAGAGAGAGAGAGAGAGAGAGACTTTGAGGCTTGGTTTACCTTAATCTGGAAACTTTGGTGAAGCCATTTTTGGAGCAAGTTCATTAACAAGCAGTTTAATGAGGGCCGCGCCACCAGAACCTCTCACTCTGTCACGGTTCTGGCTCCAGGAAGACTGGAAAAGAATAACTTATGCCAGAGCCGCACCGTTAAGCCACACCAAA